GGTGGTCTTTTTTTCTTTTTCTGTACCATTTGGCATTAATGTTATCTAATTATAGACATTAACGTGATTCATAAATATAACAGACATCACATGATCCTATGTTTCACACACTCGGGTTCTGATTTAACTCCTGCTTCTCAACCCTGTTTGGTTGCGTGGAGAATAAGGAAAAAAGACCACCCGAAAGAAATTTCGGATCCTTTTTTATGATTCAAATGCCAATTACTTGCATCAGTGAATAATTGTTGCTTGCTTATCTTCGTATTGTAATTTCATGAACGTTTTGGCTTTTCAATTAATGACGTTAATTTTGGGGAATTTGAAAATTTGCATGATCATGTTCTTTTTATTTTTAGCATTATCTAAATTTATTTTCAAGCATTGATAGGTGAAGTAAGGAACCAGTTCTCTGCCCGAAAATACGCTGTTTTGTTATCATTGTGGGATTACCATGATTGTTCCCTTCTAAGCTACATTGCCTAAAATATTTCTCGGTGTTGAATTTGGAAAGTTGACATTATATTACTTGAACTTCCGAACTGATTGAGGACATAAATATGTCTTTTTCTAGCATAGATTCTAGCATAAGTTTGTTTGTGCATGATTTTGTTTTTATTGTGATCATTAATATGCTGAAATTGCCTCCTCTAAAGTAGTAAAGATAAAGCAAGTAATATCAGTTGTTGATAAGAAGATTAATGATTAATATTTCAACTCATTCATTCACGATGTGTTATACATGCACACGTAATGTCGATCGTTATTTTTCTCGTGAACACCATTACTTACTTTACTCTTTAAAATAAATTCCTCACTAAGAACAGCCTGATCCTAAAATGGCAACTTGTTCCTTCCATAAAAGTACAGTTTTTTCATCTTTAATTGTGTGGAATTGAGAATGTTTGGATAAATTTATCCAAAAGTACTTCTAGGAAAAAAAAGATAGAAAGAAATTGAAAGTAAAATAATTTTTTCATAAACTAATAGCTAATTTGTAGAAATCTTCTTGTATAACTTCTCCAAAAAAAATATTTTTAACTTAAGTTTAAATTAGTTTTAACTTGGGAATTGAAAAAACTTATTTTATTTTTCTCAGAATTATTTTTGAAAAAAAATTATTCGAAAAAACTCATTATTTGTTTCATTTTTCTCTTACATGATTACTAACTACTAAGGTAGCTTGTTGCTCATAATTCTTCAGCTAAAAGTGTTTATTACTCAAGCATTGTTGGTCTTCCTTTCAGCTGAAAAAGGCAGGCATGTTGTTGGGGAGAAGGGGTCATCTCAGAGTGGAAAGTTTACATTCCTAAATTGCTTTGACATGACTTCTGGAACTTTAGCATTCAGTGTAAAGGAAAGTGTGAAGCTCTACTTCTACAATCTTAGGGCTGCTCACGTTGAAGGAGCAAGGAATGATGCAATGCAATCTGCTCTTGTTGATGCTGTGAGTAAGGGAATGTCACAAAGTGCTTCAGCAAAATATGCCAAGAAAGAAGGTGAGAAGGCAGCAAAATTGGCTTCTCGCAAAGCCAAGCGCATTGTGGGTCCCATCATGTCTTCAGGATGGGATTTTATTGAGGCTGTGTATTATGGTGGAACTTTCACAGAGGGATTCTTCAAGGGAAGTAGTACTTTGGTTGGAACTTATGCTGGAGGTTTCTTTGGAGAACAAAGGCTTGGCAGATTTGGTTATCTTGTTGGAAGTCATATGGGTAGTTGGTTTGGAGCTAGAATAGGACTAATGCTATATGATGTGGCCAATGGACTCCGTTTCTTGTTGCATTCTGTTTAAAATGCTTATATGATACTCTTTGTATACAACTTGAAGAGTTTTTTAGACTTTTTTATTAAAAAATAATTCTTTATTTTTTATAAAAAAACTTTAAAGAAATTTTCTAAACTAGAAGTCAACTTCAACAAAAATAATTATGAAGGAACTACAAGTATTCATAAATTTTGTATCTATCATATCTGGCAGAGTTACAGAGAATGCAGATTCTCAATTGAGATATATGAAGAAGTTAAGTTTACAACATTTTTTTATTGATAAATATTAATTATTAATTATTATGTTAGTGAGAGGAATTCACATCCTCTTTATTACTCCTAAGTTTACAACATTGATATTGATATTTTCTTACATTTTCAATTTGATGTATATGCAAATTTACAACAGTGTTTATAAATTGGATTTTATTCAACGTTTCTTGTGTATAAAACATGTTCTCCTCACAATGTAAAAAAATTATTTTCTACATGTTGCATGCCATGCCATTGCTTCTCTTTTTGGTCAACCTTCCACCGTAAGAAAAGAATTCTTGTGGTGGATATTTTTTTTCATTTAAAATGTTAGAGAGATGGTGGCATTTTTTTTCTCGATGTAAATCATTGTTGGTATTAATAATAACATACGACTTATCCTAATTTTAAGAGAAAAATGATAGTATCATTTTTTGTTTCACTGATAAGTAGATAGAAAAGAGAAACATTATTGTATAAAATCTATTTATTAATATTCCTGTTAGTAAAAACATCACATTAAATCCAGTTAATATTACATAACCGTCTTAATTTATCACTTTTAAATATATTATTGATGACTTGTGGGACTAAAATAATATAGAAGAGTAAACGTCTTATTTGATTCATAATATAGTCAATAAGTTAAAATATTTTTTTTTTGTAATGTTTAAATTTCTAAATTTTAATTATGTTATAAAATTAGATATTTCATAATTATGTTAGTCTCATAACCATTTAATAATTAATTATTAAATTAGTATATATTCTCTCTCCCAACTAACATACTATAATAAAAATATAAAGAATTCTCATTTGACCTTAATAAAACGAGAATAATTCAACGGTTCATAAATTATTTTGAATTAAAAATTGATAATATCTATAAAATAATTGAATGTTATAATAAAAATAATTATTAATGATAATAAATATATTAATTATTAATCATTATTTTTAATAATAAAACAATATTAATTCATGAAATAAAGTAATTAGTTTATTACATTCTTTTGATTCATTATCAAAGAGTATTTTCTATCATGAGAATTATTATTTTTTAAATATTTGAAGAATATAAAATAGATAGACACTTCCTTTTTATTTGATTTTTCTGTATACGCAAGAAACATGATTCAAACTCGATCATTTGATTAAACAATGAGAATATTTTGCTACTTACATCAACCTAAATCGATAATATATGATTAACCTAACACAAACCATTATAATTGATGAATCAATATTTAAATTTACGAAGAAAAGAGGTGTTTAAATTTAATGTTGTGCAATATTTTAAACATAAAATGACCTTTGAAATTTTTTTCTCCGATATCATGCAAAATATCTCAGCTATTAATCACTACATAACAATTAAGATGGAAAGAATGTAATGTATGGACTTGATTTGAGCTGGATAGAAAAATATATGCTACAGAGGCCAGAGGTCTAGAGGATCCTTGTGTGAAGAAAACAGTAGGATTTGAAATTTTTCTAAAAATTATCAGTTTTTATATACAACTAGTGAAGACATAGTAAAATTACTTTTTAAATTTAGGATATTCGTAGCGCGTATTTTCAGATCTAAATAGTGTAATTTGTTTTGGTTCGATTCAAATGTAATATTAAATTAAATTAATCTTTTAAGGTTTACTTTATACTGGATTGGAATTATTTTATTTTATTATATTTTAAAACAATTTTCAAGATTATTTTTAATTTGATAAACAATAAATTAAATTCACGCTATAAAATATAAAAAATAATTATTTCATGATGAACTTTTTAAAATGACATTTACATAATTATAAGGAATAAAACAACAAAAATCACATATAATAATAAGTTAATAACTACTAAATTAAAAACTATTCCTAATGTTTAATTTGTTTAGATAAAATTATCTATAAATACTTATAGAAAAAATATAAAAAATGAAATAAAATTTTTCACAATTTAAAATTATCTTTTTGAATTCTTAGATGGTAGTGATAGTAAAAGTAGTCACCTTTTCTCTCCTACTTGTTGTGTGTGTGAAAGACTTATTTTATTAATGCAAGAATTATATATATATATTGTGTGAGGTGATGGTAGTTCAATGTATGTGTGTTGGTGTGTTGATTAAGAAATGCAAGCAGAAGGTCCATTTTACTTTCTTGAATGCAAAACATAAGGTCAAATTTGAAAAGAAAGAAATTACTAATACATGTTACTTTTAAGAAATAGAGTATGAAAGAATGATTATTGCCTTTTTCTAAATTCAAATTAATTTCGTCATTTATTTATGTAATGTCTATAATTCTTATTATTTTCTTCTTATATTTATAAACTCTATCCTTTTTTAATAAAAAGGTGCTTGAAAAGAAAAAAAATCAAATTATTTATTCTTACTCGTTAAAAATAAGTTTTAAATAATATTTTCTCCTTTCTTATTCATTAAAATAAATGTAGTATATTTTTAATTGTTTAAAATTTAATGAAATAAGTTTAAGAACATAAAAAAATCAGATATTTAGAAATGAGTCAACCAACATTTAATTGTAGTAAAAGAAAAGGTTAATAAAAATTAATGAAGGTATAAATGAAAGAATTTTTTTTAAGAAATCAAAATTAAGAGAGTGCCACCTAGCAACTTGTGTGAAAATCTTTAATGTAATTTATAAATAATAAAAAAAAGAATGTTAAAATTAAGAGCGTAAAAACACATTTAATATCATTTGACTAAACACAAATTTAAATTCCACAAAGAAAAATATAACACCTTAAAATATTAAATGGTTTGAATATGTTTTATTCCCTTAAATTTAAAATATTTATTTTTGGTCCCTCAAATTTAAAATTTAGCTAAATTATGTGTTTTCTTTAAAAAAAAATAATTTTTCATACTGTTATTAGATTTTCCATTAACTAGAAACCACCACCCTTAAATAAAACATGTGGCTGAACTAGAATATTGTTTTCTTTTTTTGCTTTTACTTGTGGACCCACACATCTCCTTGATTCTCTTAGAGTATAAAATTGCCTTCACTATTGTGAACTACATATCTTACAAAGAAAACATAAAAATAAAATCATTTTCTCATCATTTTTTTCCTCAAAGTCTTCATCTTTCACTTTCTATATCACTTTTAATATCTTTCTTTCATTTAAAATCTCACATCCTTCTCACCTTTAGCAATTTTTAAGCATTTTAACTTAATTCTCCAAATCCTACACCTATTCATTCTTCAATTGATTATTTGATATCACAACTTTCAAACCGTTATTACCTATATTTATTTCTCTAGAAACCACTATTATAAAATAAGACATGCACTTAGCTCATTGTTTCTCTTATGACTTAAACTTGCTTGTGGACCCTTTCTATCTCTTCAATTCTCATAGCAAACAAAACTTCTCTATTTAAATATTTTTAAATTATCAAAGGAAGAAAACCTTAAAGCAAATCAAATCCTTATCTTTTACTTTCTCTCTCTATCTTTCTCTCTCCCTCTCCCTCTCCCCCCTCTCTCTATCTATCTATTTATCTCTCTCTCCATTCCTTTATTTTTGTCTTTCTCTCATACTATTGATAAAGTTGTTTCATCAATTAAATCTTTCATACATCTTTCTCACCTTTAACAATGGTTGAATCAGGTACTGTAATTTCCTTATCGTTAGTCTCCTATCCTTCCTCTAATGATAACAACTTTAATACTATCACTAGTTCCTCCTCTCACCAGAAATCACAACCTTTAAAGAAGTCACGTGGTAGAGTATTAGGCTCTAGGAATAAACCAATACTGCCTATCCTGATTAACCAAACCAATGGGCATGGTGTAAGACCAATTTACATCAATATTGTTCCTAACAAATCAGATATAATTAAAACAGTGGTCCAATTTGCCTATCGAGTTAGTTTCAAAGTTGTAAGTGCATCAGGAACCATTTCATGTGTAACTCTTCGCCAACCTGATTCTCAAACTCCTGCTTTCATTATTCATGGACCTTTCACTTTAGTTTCCCTCAGTGGCACCTATATAAATAACAACCCTTTTGCTGCTACTTCATCATTGTCATCATCACTAACATCAAATCTTGACTTTCTTGTCCTTTAAGTATTTCCTTTACTTCAAATTCAGATCAAATTTTTGATGGGATAGTTGCAGGAAAGGTTATGGCAGCTAATAAGGTTATTGTGGTGGTTATACCTTTTAACAACTTAATAATTCCAAAACATGGTATCAATAGTGGAGGACAGGAAAAGGATAACAATAATCCATGTGCATGTGATTTATTGACAATAAAATTATATCTAGGCTCAATTAATGTCATTACTCCTTTCCTTAAGATATGACAATAAATATTATACAATGAGGTGACACTCAAAATATGTCGTCCTTTACCTCCATTTTGTTTTTTATTCTTCATTTTTGCTTTGTGATATTTACTTGATTTTCCTAAATTATGTAACAACAAATTGTTAATCAATCTAATATTAAGTTGTATCATGATGTTGAAATGACAAGACTTTCTTTCTTAAATGACATCTCTTAGTCTGAAAAGTAGCTACACATAAAGTTGTATAATTTAACTTACCTATTTTTCTTTATTTGTTAAAATCCTTCTAATCTTGAAACTTTTGAGTAAGAAAAATTATGAGTTTAAGAAAAGATAAAGATTTTCTTCGATGGTGATTTTCTTAATCTAAATTAATTTAATTATTAATTTATGTGATGTCCACAATTCTTTATTTTTTCTTATATTTATATATGAACTCTTTCCTTTTTCAACAATAATATTTTTGAAAAGAGATATATATTCTTATTCATTAATAATAAGGTTCAAATAATATTTCTCTTTTCTTATTCATTAAAAATAAATCTATTAAAATTTTAATTACTTTAGAATGGTTTGAACAAATTTTTAGTCCCTATATATATAAATTATGAGGTTTTGATTTTAATCTTTTTTTAATATTTTTTCATTTCCATCCCTATATATATATTTTCTAATTTTATTTTTTT